TTTTTCTATATTGGTCCTCATATTTAATTTTTTTTTTTGTTTTTTTTCCTTCCCTCTATCTATCCATCTCCATCTGTGAAAATTAGGGGTGAAATTATCCCACCTGCATCTTCTGTTTATTTTCCACGTATTCTGCTCTTGTTCTTTTCTCTTTCTATTTCATTGTCGCTCTCTTTCAGTTTTCATACTTCATTCGTTCCTTCTGTCCCACATATTCTTCTTCTATTCTTCTAGCTTTGTTTCTTTGCTTTTGTTTTGCGTTTTGTTCCTTTCAGTTGTTTCGTCCCTCCTTCTCCCCATGTCTACTCGGGGCAAGCGAAAACCTGATGACGGTGCCTCCTCCTCTGTCGGATTTTCTGTTGGTGGCCGTCGCAGGTGTCACCGTCTTCCAACCTTTTCAGTTCTTCCCTAGTACCTTGATTCTGGGGACTCTGGTTGTCTTTGTGAGTTATGTGGTGCATATTTCTGGTATGTTGAGAGGGTTTTGAAGTTCACCACAGCTGGTCATCCGAGGTATAATCATTGTTGCAGGGGTGGGGATGTTGTTCTTCCTTATCCTTCAAGGTTTTCCCCTGAATTCTATGCCCTGTATGAAAATGCACGATTTTTGAAGGACATTAGGGGTTACAACATGTTTTCTATGACTTCGTTTGGGGAAAATGTAGATGAGGATGTCAATGAAAATCGTGGTCTGTATGTTTTTAAGGTCTCGGGTCAGATTAGTCACATGATAGGATCTCTGTCTCCCAATGTTGTCAAGGGTCCCAGGTTTCTGCAGCTATATTTGTTTGATACTGAGAATAAGATAGATAATAGATTCAGGGCGTTTGACAATCCTAGAAAGAGGGATTTGGATGCTAACACTGTTCAGTTTTTGATTGAGTTTTTGTGGGCTAACAATGAGTATGTGCGGACCTTCAAAACCGCTAAGCAGATGGCGGATGAGATGAATTTACAGTCGTATGCAGTGTGTTTGTTTAACAATGTTCTTGATCGTAGATATGATTTGCCCTCACCTGGATCTTTGGGTTGCATAGTTAGTGGTGATGACAATACATGTACCAAGTATGATATTGTTGTGTACTCTCACTCAGGTCACCCTCGGCGCATCATTAAGATGCATCCTAGCTATATTCCTTTACAATATCCAGTTTTGTTTCCATATGGCGAGGAGGGTTGGTCCCCGCGTTTGAAGTTGGGTGTTAGCGCTAAAAATATTATCGTCAATATGTATTATGCTTATCAGATTCATGCCTGTCAATACATATGGTCCCCTATTCTAAATGTTTCTCGCCTGTTCCAGTAGTATTTGGTTTATGCGTACACATCATCAACCATCAAGATAACCTTCGATCCAAATATGTCAATGGTCTGTACGACGCACTTTCGAATGGGGATAGGGAGACACGTGTGTTGGCAAACGGGTCTTCTTGCCAACGTCCTTTATAGGTGGTCCACGGTATATGTATAGCCATTATCATGATGCACTTTTGATATGTAGGGTGTACGGGAATCCACAATACGTCATAACATTTACGTGTAACGTTAAGTGGCCAGAGATAACGCGTTATATGGATGTGCATGCTCAGAGAGATGCTCATAGTAGAGCGGATGTTATTGCTAGAGTATTCAACATCAAAGTTCATGCCTTCGTCAACTTCCTTAAAGGAGGACAAGACCTTTGGTGAGGTTGATGCATGTATGTGTTTGTTTCCTTTCCTTTCCAACTAGGTTTCACATTTATGTATTTAAGCGTTCTTCTTTGCATTTTCCAATTCCTTATTCTGTAAAGTTGCTTACATTGTGTTGGAATTAACTATGATTTTGTATTTATTTTTAATTACATTTTTTCGTTATTCTGTACACGTTTTTGGAATTGTCTGTTGGATGCTGGTTACAATCACTTCCTACAGCTTTCTATTCTCAACTTACTGATAATGAGTGGTGTATCTATGCATTCTTTATCTGTATGTCAAACGTATGTTTACATGTTTCATACATATTACTTTTTGTTTTGTACATTGTTGTTAGTAACATTACTGATAAGTAGAATATTGATTTCAGTCTATATTGCCATAATTCCCAATATGCCCCTGTACTATGGCTTTCGTTTCCCATAACGTACCCTTTTTTTTGGGTCGTGTGTGTCGCTTACTTTCTTCCAATACCTATTGTAGTGCACACTTAGTTCTATTACTAGCTAATTGCTTACTCTGTAGATGTTTTCAGAATTAGTTGTTGGGTGCCGCATGTAGGACCATCATAGTCAGTACCAACGCCTCTTTATTGTGAATTTATTAAGGATCATAAGTGTCAAATGTGCTTTCTTTATTTATATGTCAAACGTCTCTTTATATGTTTGATACATATTATTTTTTATTCTGTGCATTGTATTTCATAAGACTACTGACATATGCAAAACGTAAATGAAGAATGTTGATTGTCTACATACTCTTTATACGTTTACTATCTTTTGACATAGTTCTTCAAATACCCCTGTACTTTTTTTTGCTTGCAGTTTTTTTTACCAGTTACATCTTTTTGGGTCTCCTTTAAATGATGTATATTGTATGTGTTTGCTTTACTGCCCCTCTTACATCCTTTTGGGTCTCCTTCAAATACCATTGTACTGTTTTTTGATTGTTGTATCACATATTCGGATACATGTACTCTAATTCCAAAAATGCCCCTGTTCTGTCCCTATGTTTTCTCAAATGCTTTCTGTTTACTGGACTGGATTTCCAGTCGTGACATTTCACATAACGGAAATTAAACTATCACAGCTGCGAAATCTGTCTCAATTTTATTCACGTCGTCTGTCACCACTATTTCTTCCTGTTTTCAACTTTTGTGATCACCTTTTTATTCTTTTTCTAACAGTGGCACTTTGTTAACGTATTCGCTTCTGAACATTTGTTAGTCTACTTCTTTAAATGCCCTACATTTACATTTTAGTCATATATGATGCATCTTTATTCAATTCTGCTAACGTACTGAGATCTATTGTGGTGACAGTATGCGCTGTCACACTTGCTTTCACCCTCCTGTTTTTTTTTCATTTATTAAAGCCAAATGATTTATAGACTAAATTCTTCTATGATGCTTCCATTGTTGTCTGCAGATTTATACACCATTGAGTTCCAAAAGAGAGGTTTTCCCCACTGCCACACTTTATTGTAAATTAAAAGTTCAAACCGGATTCAGAACGTTGCCGATGTGGACACATATATTACTGATGAGCTGCCAGATCCAATTACAAAACCTGATTGTACGATACAATAACAACCTGCATGATTCACGACCCTTATGGTCCACTAAACAAAAAAGCTCCCTACATGAAGGATGGTAAATGCAACAAACGCTTTCCCAAACCCTTTCTTGACACTACATTGTTTGACACAAAGGGATACGTGCGCTACAAACGTGGTTCATCCGCACACCATACAACACAATATGGACATGTTATAGACACCGGGTATGGTGTCCCCTACAATAAAAAACTTTGCTCCTGATTCCGAGCACACATTAATGTCAAATATTGCGGGTGGAACATGATGATTAAATACTTGTTCAAATACATTTCCAAGGGAGCAGGCTGTGTCAGATACACTATCCAGAAAGCAGAGATGTCTGACGGATCAAGTCCCAACACGTGTACAGGTGAACGTACCACCTCCGAAATTGAAGAAATATGCCTTATAAATAAGGTCCAAAACTTCTTAGATGGCCGGTACATTTACCCGCATGAGGCAACATGGCGTATTCTAGACTTTCATATACACCATCGCCACCCACCTGTTCAAATTCTATATGTCCATAAAGAAAACATGCAACAGATTATTTTTAAAGGTGATAGTACGATACCTGAGGTACTGTCCAATCCCTTTACTTCTAAAACCACCCTTCTCGGGTGGTTTGATTGCAATGCGATAGACCCAAAAGGCTGTGATATGACATACCTAGAGTATCTGAAATCTTACAAATGGGACGGCTCATCTAAGGCATGGAGCCGAAGAGCTGATGAGTCGTCGAAAACAGTTGGACGATTTGTATTTGTACATCCTTCCTCCGGTGAAAATCTCCAAAATAATAGATAGAAATACCGCAAATAGAGCCATCATTAGGACCATCATACTTGTCGACCATCGATGAACTGATCGGATTAGTTGGGTATACAGATGGTACTTTATCATCATAAGGGATGCACATCTTTTGAAGACTTACGCACCGTGTCCGGTACAGTTCATCCAACTTTTAGAAGCGCTTGCAATGCACTTAGATTAATTGGTGACGATATTGAATGGCTGACCGCTTTCACTGAGGCTTCTGTTTGGGCAAGTTCACCACAATTACGATCCCTTTTTTGTCATTTACTGCTTTTCTGTGAAGTTAGCAACCCACGTTTGTTATGGGCAGCTGGGTGTAACAAAATGAAAGACAATTACTTACATACGCTCAAACGACAAATGCCAGATAAGAACATTTATGTCACTGACAGCATAATCCAGCAGCAGCTGCTTCATGAATTGAAGCACACACTCCGTTCCTCTGTACCATCTAAATCGTTGGCGAATTTTGATCTTCCGATGCCATCGGGTGACGTTCTTGCTATTTTGAAAAATCGACTATTGCTTGATGAAATGAGCTATGACAAGGAGTCTCTACGGAAACAACACGCCGAACTACTACCATAGCTAAACAGTGACCAAATGTCAATCTACCAAACAATTGTCACATCTGCAGAAAACAAAAAACAAGTCCTTATGTTTGTATATGGACACGGTGGTACCGGGAAGACCTTTTAATGGACTACGATTCTCTCTTATTTAAGATCGATTGGAAAAATAGTTTTGGCGGTTGCTGCGTATGGAATCATCTCATTGTTGTTGCCTTCTGGAACAACAACACATTCGAGGTTCAAGATACCTATCGATTTCACTGACAAAAGATCTTGCGACATAAAAAAGAGAACATTACTCGGGGATCTTATGCAGCGTACATCAGTTATCATTTGGGACGAGGCGTCAATGAGTGGCAGAAGGTGTTTTGAATTTCTAGACCGCTCTCTGTGGGATGTCCTAGAGTGCGATGAAAAGCCATTTGTTGGCATTTCCGTACTACTTGGTGGTGACTTACGACAAACTCTTCCTGTGCTGCCAAAGAGTACACGGGCAAAAATTATTGCGCTTACTTTGCCAAGTTCGTATTTGTGGTCCTCTTTCGAAATTTGCATGTTACGTAAGAACATGAGACTGCTTTCCTCCGAAATAACCAACGGAGATGCATTATGTATAACAACTTTTGCAACCTGGCTACAAAATATTGGAGACGGAGTGATAGGTGCACCTGACAAAGACGATCCACGGGACAAAAGTTAGATACGGATTCCAGATTCACTCTTAATATCACCTGGTCCCAACTCTCTACAAACCCTTATAAGTTTTGTTTACGGAAATAACAT